GAAGACAAGTATCCTTCCGACAATCTCAAATTGAATTCGTCTCCCATGTCATAAATACTCAGATTCTCCAAGTTAGTGATGAATCGCAGTCCATCAGGAATCTCCTTTAACTTTGGACAACTCCGAATTTCGAGAGTACGGAGAAGGGGCATTGAGCCTTCTTCTACTACCCACTCTTCCCACTCCTTTAATCCATAAAATAGTAGCTTCTGCAATTGAGGAAACCCATCACTTGAGCAATCCATTCTCCTCCCGCGGAATGACTCACTCCATAATCTAATATATTTCAAGTGAAGTAACTTCTCTAGAATCGGCATTGGATCCTCCTTCAAACAACAACCAGTTAGATCTATAGTTGTAAGGTGAGAAGGAAAGTGTTGCGCATCAGGTAACCTTGGGGCATATATCTCCAACTTCAGTTTTTTGAGATGAACAAAATCCCAATCAAATCCTTCTTCACCATCATCATTCGTGGGAGTATAAAACTCCTTGTTGTTATCTATAGTAAGACTCTCCAAGTGCGAAAGTTTACTTAGAGATGTAGATAGAGTTTCCATTGTATACCTCTCGTCTGTAATAGAGATAGAAAGAGATCTGAGCCGTGTCATACCCTGTAGATCTGTCACTCTCCCATATTTTGTGGAGAAATTCTTCAACATCTCCAGCTTGACCGAATTTCTCAATTCCAACTTTGTCTTACCATGTAATCTCCTCGGCAACCACAAGAATGTCAATTCTCGCATCTCTTTCAAGATATTGGGCATATAGACTTCAATCGACAGACCAAATTGGTTTACATCGAGGTTTAAATAAAGCAGCTTCTTCAGATTCCTCATAGAAGAAGGCAATTGAGTTACACATGCCCCATATAAACTAAAATATCTCAAGTGGATGAGCTTCCCGATGCTAGAGGGTACCTTATCTCCTTCAATCTCGACCCAAGAGAGATCTAACACTCTCATCAGCTTATGCCTTGTAAAGAATAAATTTGTTACCTTTCGTTCGTCATCCATGATAAACAAGAGGGTTCTAAGGCTTGGATTCTTCAGCTCCGTATCGACATCAAATGTATCAGCATACCAAAAAGCAACTCTTCGATATTTACAAGGATATTTTGTTGCAGTTGATGTGTCAATGATTTGTACGAAATTCTCTTCTTC